CCATCTATTATTGATATTCTGGCAACACCTTTTACAGAAAAACAGCCCCAGATCATGATACTGCCACCACCAAACTTTACAGTTGGCAACGTGTTCTTTGGTAAGTAGGCTTCACTGTCCTTCCTCCACACATGATTTCGATAATTATGACCAAACAACTATTTTAGTTTCATCTATCCATAGTAATTTTTCCCAAAACGAATATTTTTTATCCTTATGATCTCTAACGAATTTTAGCCTAGCATCTCTGTATTGTTTCAAGAGGAGTGGAGTCTTCCTTGGGATGTGTGATTTCAGACTGTTTTTGTGTAGTTCATTACTTATTGTACGCTTGGTTACTTTAATCCCTAATGCACGCAGATGTTCCTGCAGCTCTTCTCGGGTAACCTGTGGATTTTGTTGGATCTGGCGTCCTAATATCCTTGCTGATCTTAGAGAAATCTTCCTCGGAGCACCTGTTTGTCTTTGAGCACCTGAGTTTTAAACCTTGCAATGAACGAAGCAATTGTAGTAAAAGGAATATTCAGGTTGTTAGAAATCGTTCTGTAACTGTTCCCATCTTTCCAAAGAGACAAAATGTGTTGTTTTTGTGAAATAGTCAATTCTTTACCTTTAGGCATTATTAGAACCTTCTCGTAAGACTAGAAATTGCAGAATGCTCTGATAATGGCTAATAGCGTTAACTATAATTACTGATAACATTACTGGAACATTCTAGAATATACTTTTTTCATAATTAATTGATTATTTTATTCTAATAATTGATTTGTACGAATACTTTTTTCACCAGTTAGAATTAAAAAATGCATTAATTTCTGTTAGAATAAGAATTAATTAAGTTTATTATTATTTTTAATAGTATGTGTCTTTATACATAAAATGTGCCGAGATTTGTTTTATTTAAGGCTTTTACATTTATAAAAATACAATTTTTCAAGTGTACGAATATTTATTTCCCCCCACTGTATATATATATATATATATATATATATATATATATATATATATATATATAGTGTGTGTGTGTGTGTGTATAATATTAAATCTGTAAGTGCTAGAGTTTATTCCAAAATATTAAAAAGTTAAATCCCTGAAAAGAGCTCAATGTATAAATTTATATACAGAGCAATATAAATAGTAATGAAAAAGCTTAAAACATCATATAAATTGTTACAAATTTATTTCAGCAGATATATATATATATATATATATATATATATATATATATATATATATATATGCCTCATCAGACTAACTACATTTTATTAAATAATACAAATTTAGTCAGACAATTTGAAAATAAATCAGACAAAAAAACTTAACCTTAAAAATCTGTAGGGCTTACATAATTGGAGAGAAGTGCAGGGAGAAAATAAAGAAGTTTCTATAAAGAGTGGGGATAAGTATATATGGGTAAACGAGTGTCCAATATAATTCATAGAAATGAATCAATGTTATTTATTTAAACATTATCATCATAATAAAAATATATTAGATGAATAAATAAATAAATTAAAATAATAAAAAAATATATATTAAAAAATAAATGAATAAAAAAAATAAAATAACAAAAATAAATCTATAATGTAAGCATGTCCATGACATCTACATAAATGAATAAATGCATCTATTAACATACCAGTGTATACGTTACACACACAAATATATATATTTTTTTATGTGTATACATATACAAACACACACAAATACATATATACACATACATAGTTATAAACTTAAATATAGAATTTTTAGTGTTTAAAAAATAATAGACCCCATAAAAGATTACAATGGAAAACTTATAATCTAAAATCACAAGATCCTAGAACCTTCTGAAGTGAATATTTTAAACTTAATTAAAAAAATTATCTTTAGAAAATCATTTAACCAATTCCAACATGATATAAGAATTATTAAAAACTCAAAAAATATGTGGGTTATTTAATGACAAATTGAGAAATATGTATAAAATTAACCCCCTTCAACTATCACAAACTTCTCTCAAACAAAATCACCAATACTTACAAACAAAACAAGAATAATAATACAATTTCAATAATTAACAAATATGCTGCTAATTTTGCAAAAAAAACATTCATTATTTAGGACAGAATGGAGAAAATTCACATGAAAAGTGCATATTTACTATTTAAGGGACAACAAACCCAATTTCAATAACCACCAACAATCTAAATTGATGAATCCTTCCAAAACTGAACTAGATGTAATTTCTAAAAATATAATTAAAAGAATAATCCATATAATACAAGAAACCTCTTATAACAATCTTTGGAAAGATTCTTCTGATACAATAAAATGGTTTCATAATATTAAGAATAAAAATAACGCTACATTTATTCAATTCAATATTATAGACTTCTACTCCTCCATTTCCAAAGATCTCTTATTAAAAAGTTTAAATTTTGGAAAAAACTAAGTAGACATTATGGATGATCAATTTGAGGTTATCTTAGCTTCCAGGAAAACATTTATTGACAAATAATAATTCAACTTGGATTAAAAGTTATAATGATAATCTCAATGTTTTTATAGGTGCCGACAACTCTGCTCAAATAGCAGACTTAGTAGGCATCTATATATCAGACACATTTAGAATTATTGATCCTAAACAGGTTGGTCTATACAGAGATGAGGGACTTATTTTTTTATCCCAGATAGTAATGATCCCCTATCTTCTAATACACAGAAGAAGATTTATAAGTTTACATTATGAAGAAGAGAGTAGGTGTATGTTCTTGTTTATATATATATATATATATATGGGTATTTTTATCTTTTATATATATATATATATATATATATATATATATATATATATATATATATATATATATTACATTATATTATATTTTATTATCATTAGTATTATGATGCTGCTGCTGCTGCTGTTTAAATAGACATGATTTTAACCCCTTCTTCTGTGAACTTTGACACATTGTTATAACTCTGTTTTAAATTTAACCTTCCTATCTCTTTACCTTCCCTTAAATGTCATATTAACTTGTTTTTTTTTCTGTTCACTCTCTTCATAATGTAAGCCCTCAAAGAAAAATTTTTTAGGTCAATTTATTTTTGCTATTGTTTTATCTTGTATCTTTTTATCTTTGTACATCTGTCTGAGATATCTTGATTCTATTTCGGAAAATATAGCTAGTCTGATGAGATGAATATGCTTATATTCATTGAAATAAATTTATTACTTACTTTGGATTTTCAAGGTTTTTTCCTAACTGTTCTTATAATTTGCTCTGTATCATACATTGAGCTCTCATATGGACTGAAAAGTCCTCTTTGGGATAATCCCTACCAATTAAAAATTTCATATATATATATATATATATATATATATATATATATATATATATATGTGTGTGTGTGTGTGTGATGCATACAAATGTGTTTATAGATGCATTTAGTCATTTATGTAGGTGTCATAGATATGCTTACATTATAGGGTTTTTAATCATTATTATTTTTATTATTTTAATTATTTATTTATTCACATATATATATATATATATATATATATATATACACACACATAATTATTATTATGATGATGATGATGTTTAAATAAATAACATTGATTCATTTCTATGAATTATAATGGACACTGGTTTACCAATACAGACTTCCCAACACTTTATGCAAACTTCTTTTTTCCCCTCAAAACTTCTCTCTCTTCAATTATGTAAACCCCACCTCCCCCAATTTTTAACGTCAAGTTAATTCCACTACATTTTTTTTTTGTCTGGTTTATTTTCAAATTGTCTGGCTAAATTTGCATCATTTAATAAAATCTAGTCAGCCTGATGAGGCAGCTAATATATATATATATATATATATATATATATATATATATATATATATTCAAACTAATATACTATGTATAGAAAATGTTTATGTAAACAAGTTTTGCAGAAGAAACAAATTGTACCTTTGGTCTTTTAAAATTTTCTTTTTCAGCCATTGCCAAGAATCCAAACCTATTTTGTTAGAGTCATATGATGACTTTCTACCTTAAACTAAATAAGTTGCTTTATTTTTAATTTTTGAATGGATTCAATACTATATGAACATGATTTATTTTTTTAATTTAAGTATTTTTGATGTCACACAAATGTGGCATTATATGAGTTTTGAGAATTTAAATACATTTAATTCTGATATACCAAAATTAATTTGTCAATCTGAAAGAGAAATATTTTAAAATAGAATAGACAGACTGTGCTTGTTATATTTAACAATACAAATATATCTAAAGAATTACATCTTGTATATAACAAGATGTAAATTTATGTTTTATGCTCTAAAACTTGTTGGATTAATAAAAAAAAATCTCCGTCCCTTTCTTTAGAAATTGCTTTGTTTATGTTAGGATACAAAACTAAGCAGATATGTCTATTTTGAAAATCAGAGAAAGATGTGTTTAAAAGCACTATCAGCTTTGCTTGACCATCAATGCACTCTGTAGCCAAGAGGTTTAAGACATGTCAGATCTAATGATGATTTCCCTTAAGGGAAGACAGGTTCGAATTCTGCTGGAGAGCACTTATTTTTCTCTACTAAAATTTCTTGAATATTCAGGCTGGTAGACAAAATGAATATAGTGTTTAAATAAAAAGAGCATATACTCAAAAACGAATATACATTAAAAATAACATTTAAGTAATAAAACATATCAAATTAATAAATTAAAAAAAATCTCAAATCCATTCCTTTCTATACATATATAAACATGTGTGTGTGAAAAGTAATGCTAACCCACTTCTAAGAATCCAATGAAATGACCAAATATCAAAATATTTTTGAGCCCCTTTTTGATCAGCTTGAGAACTTTCAACATCCCTCACATGCATGCATGCATGCACGCATATATAGGCAGATATTTTATAAGACAGACATTGTATATATTCACTCTACATAGAAAAGAATCAAATTTGTTTTATAATCATAAAATAAATGTAACAAAATCTTACCAGACATTCTCATGGTAACAGTAATTTTACATACAACTCGATAAATTTCTATGATAGCTGAAAGAGAAAGTAAACATAAATGATATTACCAAAAATGTACAAGTAAAATAATAAACAGATAAAATTCCAATAAGACACAAAGAAATTAAAGATAAAAAATGTTATTCACAAAGAGATTCAATTTTTATGTGGTAATTATAATGCATTTACAAACAACATTAGTATATCGGTTACTAGAACCAATGGACAAATGGATATTTGAAAAATATTTAGTAGCAATTATGCATCTGAAAATAATTCATATTTATCTGTATCTCACTCATTTAAACTGTTATTTAACTCCTTTCTTTAAAACTTCTGATAAATTTTAATCCCCACCTTCACCTTTTTAGGCCTTTTCTTCTTCTTCTGTTTGATATAAAATAAATATATATATATATATATATATATATATATATATATATATATATATATATCTTTTACACACACACACACATATATAACCATAGTTTTTGTACCTGAGTAAATTATGGGGTGTTAAAATCTAATGCAAATGTATTTTTTTTGGTATCATACTGCCACATTTTTTATTGAATATAATAAGCAAGTATAAGGGTAAATGACCTGTTGATGATTGAGGTGAGGTAATTGATCTATTAATCCAATAGAGGGAAATATGACCTGTTTGTCTCCTTATACTCCAGTTTATACCCATGTTTTTTTGTCAACTAGTGAAACTATTTTCTTTGCTAGATAAAAGGCAGAGAAGCAAAGAAATATTCAGCTGTATTTCTTTTGTTTTTGGTTTCTTTGTTTTATTTTATTGAAAAACAAAGTTGCCATTGTCAACTGTTGGGGAAGAGACCCCCCACCACCACCACCAAGCTTGGTGGTCTCTGAAATGGAGAGGTATGGTGATAAAGTCAGCCACAACATTTCACTAAATGACCATTTGATCTGAAGACAGCAAGAGTTAACACGATTTTGCCATTTATAAAAGAAAATCCATTTTTTTTGTTCAATGCTGATAATCAGTGTATATTGTTTTAGTAAAGGGCAATGGGACAAGTAGGTTTAAATCTTAAAAAAAAAAAAAAAAAAAAAAAGGTTTTTTTTTTCTCTTTATCTATTCCCCCACCTTATTGGTAAGTATTTCAGTTGAAATGTTGGAGACTAAAACAACTACCCCACTCCAAGTTCCAAGTGAGGCAACTCATTAGCAAACCAGAAGGATGAAAAACAAAACCTAACAAAGGGCGGAGGAACTCTGAGTCAATTTCAGCTAACTAGAATGTGGTGTTCCATAAACCAACAAAATTTTACAGGCAACAGGGAAACCATTTCATTTTATCAATCCCAAGACAAATCATGGTTAAAAACTCAGATAATTTGAATATTTTAAATGTGAAGGGGGGTTGTTTATTTAGAATGAATTCCTTACCCATATTTTATACATGCACAACAAGTATCACCTGACCGTCATCCAGTGACTGCTAGCATAAACAGCATAAAAGGGATAAAAGTCCTCGGAACCTATCCCTCACCTGGAAAGGAATGACATTAACAACAGGTGTCACCGGACCATTATCCTGTGACTACTCGTATCAAACACTGAAGAACTCTTGGGACATGGAACATCCGAACATTGAACAACTGCAGCCAGTTTAATAATGTTAAACAAGAAATGAACAGACTTAACATCAACATTCTAGGTGTATGTGAAACCAGATAGCCAAACAATGGTGATTTTGTCAGCAACAAACACAGAATAATTTATGCAGGCAATGAGGAGAATGATAAAATAGTAGGACTAATACTAGATAGCACATTTAAGAAATGCATTCTTGGATACCACCAACTTTCTGAAAGAATTTTGGTAGTAAAACTAAAAAGGAAACCTTTCAACATGGCTATTAGTGTACACAACGATGGCACAAAGCAAGTAAAAGAAGACTGAATCATTTTATTCCATGCTGGACAGTGCTAAAGTTCTTTGCAAATCACAGGAAATCATCATTATCATGGGAGACCTAAATGCTAAAAAGTAGGCAGTGAAAGGGCAGGAGAAATAGCAGGAAGATTCAGACTAGGAACCCACAACAAATGCAGAGAAAAATGGATCCAAGATGTCTATAGACATGGAGGAAACCTAGGAGGAGATTTTAAAAAACCAAATTGATCATATAACCATCATCAAAAAGATTTCTAATAATGATTCACTATAAAATATTACCCAAAATGCCAACTGGTGGGAAGTGATCATCGCCCTCTTATATGCAAGCTAAAAATGAAACTGCAGAAACTAAAGAAGCCTAATGCAGCCCCCAAACTGCAATACAATAAACTCTTGAGTGACCGTAGGAAAAGCAAAAAAAAATATTTGACTGTGATAAAGAAGATGGGAAAAACAAAAATTTTTCTTGGGACCATTTTACAACTAAAGGATGTTTTAAGACATCAACCAATAAATATCATCCCAAAGGAGATAGGATGAATTTTAAAAAATAAGTGAATGACCAATGAGATTTTTGACATGATGGAAAGGAAGACAGAAAATATTTTGTTTAAGATTTATTGGAGATTTAAAAAATTTACACAATGAAAAAAAGGACCAACCCTAAGCAAACTAAAGAATTTTATTAAACAAAAAATGTACTGAAATAGAAAGATTGACCATTACCAACAAAAGAGACATGCACAAACAAATAAGTCAACTAACAGGACAGGCTGTCTAAAATCAAAGGATGGAATGCAAATCATGACCCAGTAGCAAAAAATTGAAAAAAGCTGGAGCAATTTATATTGAAGATCTCTTTTAACTAGATAAAAAGTGAACAATACACAGAACTACCAATGAACCTGGAATTATGAAAATCAAAGTAAAAGCCACACTGGCCAAACTGAACAAAAACAAGGCAGCTGGGCTGACAGCTTTAGATGATTCTTTAAATGAACAAAATCAAAAAAAAATAACAATTGAAATCTACAATAGCGGAAACATAGCAAAAGACCTCAGCAGATCTATCTTCATAGCTATGCCTAAGAAACCAGGCATAAACAAATGCAAACTCCACTGAACAATAAGCCTAATGAGCCACATGACAAAACTCATCATCCATATACTTGATGAATAGAGCGTGCAGCAGAATCAAACCAAAGATAGGACATGAATAGTGCGGGTTCATTAAAGACACTGGAACAAGGAATATGATATTCAAGTGCAGAATCTTATCAGAAAGAGCGATACAAATGCAGAAGGATGTGTACTTATCTTTCATAAACTACACAAAGGCTTTTGACAAAATATGCCACAAGGATCTGCTGGAAATTCTCTGCAACCTTGACAACGGGAAAGATAACAGAATAATCAAGAACCTATACTGGCAGCAAATAGCATAGGGAATGAGTTCAGTGAATATACAAAAATAGAAAGGGGATGTAAGGCAAGGATGCATCTTCTCACCTGACCTGTTCAACCTGTACAGTGAGGCAATTCTGAGAGAGTTAGAAACCCTACTGGGATTTAGTGTTAGTGGCCACAATCTCAACAACATAAGATGCACAAATGACACAGTACTGATAGCAGACATGGAAAAGAAACTACAAAATCTCCTACAGAAGATAGTAATGGAGAGTGAGAAGAAAGGACTAAGCATAAACTACAAGAAGACAGAATGCATGGTCATCAGTAAGAGAATGAGCCCAAAATGCAATTTGCAAGTCGAGAACACTAGAATCAAGCAGACACAGAAGCTTAAATAATTGGGAAGCATTTTGACAGTGGGCAGTAAGTTCAAGACCAAGATCTGTAGACATATTGGGATGGCCAAGGATGCATTCCAAAAGCTGGGCAGAGTATTGTGAGACAAGAGGATATTTTGGTAACAAAGAAAAGGATACTGAGCTGTTACATCTGTCCTTCTTTACGGCAGAAAATGCTGGACGATTTCCTCAAGGATGAAGATAACTCTTGTGGCGACAGAGATGTGGTTCTACAGAAGGACGCTGAGGATTTTGTGGACTGAGCATGTGAGCAACAATGAGGTCTTGAAGAGGATGCAGACAAGGAGGAGGCTCATGTTTAACATCAGGAAGAAGCAGCTGAATTTTCTGGGACACATAATAAGGAAGGAGGGCCTGGAGAATTTGATACTCATGGGTTGAATAGAGGGAAAGAGAGACATGGGAAAACAATGCATGACATACCTGGCAGGCTTAAGCAAGTGGATGACAGAATGTGGTCTGGGGGAGAGAGCAGATGGAAGGAACTTGTTGAGAGGTGCAAGGGATAGAGGGAGGTGGACAGCCATGATCCTGAAAGGACATGGCACATAAAAAGAAAGAATGTCAGTATTCCTTCATCTCCCAAATATATTTGCAGGTAATGTTTTTGACACCATAATGGACACACATATTTTATATTATATTAATAAATAAGTACATACAATCAGTAAGTAATACTTTTTCTAATATTTGGATAAAAAGCCTGTCAGGTGCCTCAACTTCATATTTCAGACATGGGAGATATTTAGTTAATTTAGGCAGGAAAAAATGAAGAGTTTAATCAGCCATCAAATATTTTGTTAAACAGATTTATTATTATTTTCCCATTTATATAAACCTATAATTATGCAATGATAGCAACTTATTGCATTCATTAGTTATGAAACAAAATAGAGAAATACTAAAACCAATCATGAATTTTTCTTTGGAAACCAATACCATTTATCTACAAATATGATTTATGGGAACTTTTATGGAAAATGGGAACAAAAAAGTTACCTATACTTAGAATGGGAAAGAGAGATCTGGGACACATGAGGAAAGAGGACTTGAAGAATTTAACACCCACAGAACATATTGAAAGTAAGTGTGGCAGAAAGAAATAATAATAATGATAATAAGCCATCTTTACTTAATATCAGATTTTTTTTTTTAAATCTACATAGACTTTAAATGGGGGCAGGGACTTACCTATAAGGTACAAAATAGTGAGTAACTGACTTAATGATCTTAGATGAATAGATAGCAGAACATGGATTGTGAGGGATAGTTAGGGGAGAAACATTGCTTAGAGCTACAAACGATAGGAAGTTGTGGAGAGTCATAATCACACATGTCCTGAAGGAACATAATGCTTAAAAGAAGAATGATTAATAAGGAAATCATTAATTACTAATTATAACAATTGCAGAAATTTTTAAACTTTTATTATGCAACTTACCCATAATGTAGTCAGCTCCCTGACATGACTTGATAACCTCATTGCATACAGATGAGGTACTAATGGAGTTGAATACATTATTAGCTTCTTTGATTCTCTGATAACACTTATCTAAACACTTGGTCCATTCATGGCAATGTCTATCACTTCCCTGAAATAAGAGTTGAGTAAGAAAATAATACATTAGAAAAATATAAATGATGCAATTATTATTATTGTAATCTCCAACATCCTGAAAAGAAACACAGATGATTTTTAAAAGAATAATATTGACAAATTTATACTTTTTATTTTTAATGCTATGTCGTTCAGGAGATATAGCATTAAAAATAAAGAGATAGTTGTAGTTCTTGTTTTCTTTTTTTCCTCTATGCTTTATCAACCTTTTGCAGGTTATTTAAAGACAGAAAATATTTTTAAATTGTAAGAATGTTTTTTTTAGATAATAATAATGATTTAATTTTACTAATTAACCTATAGTTGGAGGGAAGAATACCTTTTCTCAACAATATTTGCACTTAATGAACTCAACAGAAATTGGAACTTGGCTTTCTGATTAACAATTCCAAGCTTTTATCTTTTAAATGACCTGTACATCCAAACTTACAGCACCTGGTATTCACGCATCTAGGTACCAAGCAAGATGTGATCATATGAGAACAAGTGTTTCAAGGAGATATAAAAAAGCAATATTTCTTAAAAGATAGTGAAATCATTTTTTATGGTCTGCTCAATGTTTTTGTCTTCTCCTAGACTGGCAAACAGACAGTTTCTGATAATTCAGCTTAGCAAGACCAGTGCTACATAAGCTGAATTATGCACACATACATACTGAAGTCTTTTTAATGGAGGTCAAATTCACTGCTGATGTAATTAAACTATTTGCAGAAGCATTGTACATTGAATTATGTACATTAAAAATAAAGTGGATAATTACATCTGTGCATGGTCACTGTTTTGACATTTTAAATTTTAAGACATGAACACACATATGCATATATATATATATATATATATATATATATATATATATATATAATCATTATATATATTTTATATTTATATCAGTATATAAATAACCACATTTCTAATTTAATAATTTATAATTATATTACATTTACATATGACTTGTTCAACTTGTTTATTAGCAGAAGTATAAATATAATAACAAATATGGTATCCAGCAATCAAAAAAAAAAAAAAACACCGAGAGGAGATAAGGTTAATGTTTTTATATCCCAATTAGCAGAGCAGCTTGTAATTAAGAATTATTGACAATGCTTCATTTAATAAAAATTCAAAATATTACTCATAATAATCCTTCCAATGTAATAAATATTTAAAAAAACAAAAAAACAACTGCAATTAAGAGCAAAGAAATACTAATCAAAAATTAAAAACTGATATTACTTAACTAATAAAATTCACAATAATATTATATTTGTTTAGGATAGATTACAAAACTTTAAAAAATATGTTGGGTAATCATTACTATTAGAAAAAGTCAAGCAAAGTCAATTTCATGCTTTTAATTGAAATTTTCCTAATTGGAAGATATATATATATAGATATATATATATATATATATATATATATATATATATGTATAATAAAAAGGCTTAAACACTAATATTCCATGGTCATAATTTATTCCATTGGAATAATTAAATGCTGATCCAATTCATCAGACCTAAAATTCAAAAAGAAAAACAGAAAAAACTCCGGAAATAAAAAATAAAATTTAGAGAGAGTGTAAGTATGAGAGTGATTTTACATTTTGATTTATATGTATATGTGCATACTTGTGTGTGTATGTGTGTATATGTGTATATATGTAGGAGTGTATGTATGTATATGTATGTGTATATATGTGTGTGTGTATATATATATATATATATATATATATATATATGCATATATGGATGTATGTATATGTAGGTAGATGTGTATGTACTCTCACACTCAGTAAGCCCTTACATCTAAGTGTATTTATTGCCTTGTGTGTGTGTATATATATATATATAAAGAGAGAGAGTGGGAAAGAGTAAAAGGTTCATCATATGACAAAGATAATTGAATACTATCATACCTGCACATCCTCAATAACACTGCTGTACCTATCCCTGGCAATCAGGTGACTGCTGCTACCTTTACTGAGGTTAGACAGTGGTTGTGAAGGTGCTGATGCAGAGGAAGGCAGTGGACCTAAAAAAAAATAAAAAGATTAATTTCGCAAGTAGACAGAAAAATATTGCTATTTATTTACTTTTTTAGTTACTTAATATCATTTCAAACCAATTAAGAAAGTTATCTTAAAAGAAAAGATAAAATGATTAGAAAACATACTTTCATGATTACTCTAAGATTGTTCAGACATGGAAATTTACTTTGAACATCTTAAAAACATCACATACATAAGAAGCATATATAAGAAATAGGATTCATTTTTAAATTAGGTAATAATACAGGGTGCGAAAGACATATCGCCAACATAATGGTAAGACATTACGACAATGGTGTCTTCATCTAGCTAATATCTTACCATTAGATAAGAGGTATTTTTGCTGCATCCCTATATAATCTATGTTATCTGGAGTAGAATATATTAAACAAATATGTCAAAACTTTCATTTACTATAATGGTTATGTACATATATAACACAATAAATTCTGTTGTTAAGGAGAAAAATAATTAAACAATCCTGGTTATATTTTGTATTAAATGTATTTACAGTAAATATTATATTAAATTCACTTATTACTTTCCACTTTACAACTAATTAACAATTCTTATAGTTAGCTTTAGTGATTTTACTTTTTATAATAACTAACTAAATATTCCTGGTAATAGAGAAGAAAAAACTGAAGATTAAACCATGAATTTTGAAACATTTACCAATTTCTTTCCTTTTTTTCTCTAAGTTTGTATATTCAATCGGTATGGTACTTTTAAAAAAAATCAGCAAGACAGAGAAGTGTTACTCATTGAATAAATCTAATATTTGTATAATGTTTACACCAATCTATTTTCACTATTTCAACCTTGAGTAGTGACACCCAAAGAATATATAAAAGATTTCAAATATTTATAAATTTCCCAGTTTTCATAAATGATATACCACCTTATAAATTATTTTCAAAAATAGAAAATAAAAATCTAAATCAAACAAATATTTAACATTACCAATTTACTGAGTAGATGCAGAAATATAACATTAGAAGTTTGTTTTAAAAACGATTACCAAAATCTTCTTTATGGGACAGAAGACACACACTATATAGACATACATACATAGATATATATGTACATTAATTTAAGAAAATATAACAATAAACTCACAAGTTACATATATATGAAGGTATTGTTAAATGTAACAGATAGTTTTTTAATATTCTTTCTTTGTTTTGGACCAAATGTTTTACATTAGTTAAAAATGTGTCAGCAAACAGTCCATAGTTAAAATGAAAGGAAAGGTAGGTTCCAGTTCAATGATGGAATCTGTCAGTGATCACTCACAGATTTCCAACTAATGTAAAGTTTAAAACCAAGAAAAGTTGAATAAAAAAACTTAACCATCTGTTTTTGTCTGTTACATTCAAAAATACCTGCATAAAAAACTTTCTGCCTAAATATTTTTCAGTGCGTTATATATATATATATATATATATATATATATATATATATATATATATATATATATTGTATATGCATGTATATATAGTAATTTAAGAAAACACACACACAATATACTTGATAATGAAACTTCGCAGAGAATGTTGTGTAGAATAACCTTTCATTTGAATGGACTATTTTTCTAACCATTTTTTCATGAATGTTTATTTTTTATTTTATAGAAAAATCGATAGAAATTAATGACAAAATAAATTTCAAAATACTATCTTACCAGAATTGGTCTCAGCAGTAAGGTTCTGTATATTTCTATTTTTATTGTCTTCTGACACAGTGTCTCCACTATTATCACAGATTTCACCCCAGACAGGTTCATCATTTCGAAACTCAAGACTATCCAATGATTTTGACTCCAGGGCTGTCTCTTGTTTCTGTAATGTTTCAAAGGCTGGGAATTCTGAGCTAGACACAGATTGGCTGTCAGCAGCCAAGTCTAAATCTCTTTGTGCTGGTCTCCCAGCAGAATTGTAACTCAGTTCTAGACTGGATACAGACTGGGAATCTTCCTTCTGAAATTTTGGCCTGTCTTGCCAACTTAAACTATCTGTGTCCTTTGATGAGTGACTGTCCTCATCTACAAAATCAAAATTCCCACTTTGACTTGCTGGAATTGATGACTGACTATCTATAGTAACAGGTTCATTTATCCTGCTCCGAGGTGCAATACCTAATCCAAGATTAGATCTCACATTAACACGATGGGCTGTATTTGGGAAGTTTGCACGATCAGACAACTCAAAATCATCAATCTCCTGTGAAAATCCACCAAATTCATCTTCTACTTCTATTTGATCATCTAGTGGTGGTGGTTCCTGGAAAAGGTCCATATCAGAGGAGGAGAGGTCCAGACTGACATTAGAAGCAGTCACTGGGGTTGTGACCTTTTTAAAACCTTGCTGTTGCTTCTGACAACTCCGAGCAAGAATGGTTGGTGCTACTGAAGCAGCAGCAGGATTATTTGGATCATGATTTTGTTTTGACTTTGTTTTCTTCATGTCAAATTCTTCTCCTCCATCAATTCCAAACTCACCACTTCCTTCTCCACTTGTTCCCGTTGCAATTTCTGACTGCACAGATTGTGACGGATGAATCCGTGAGAGATCATCCCGTACTTTGAACAGGCTGAGAATTTCCTTCTTCTGGAGATTGTCTTTCACAATGGTGACCAGGGACGAGGAGGTGGTACTGCTTGCTGAATGTGTAGAGTCAAGATCAAAGCTACTGCTCTCTGAGTCAACTGAATATTTTTGTTCTGTGAAAGGAGAAGAATTTGGAACTGCAATACTGGCATTATTCTGCAAATTTTCTTTTCTAATATTTGAATCAAAATTGCTTTGGTTAAAGTCAGCCCAATTATCCATACAACTGCTGGACGTTTGAAAATCAGCCCAACCAGAATCATCATCATCAACAGGCTGGACATCAGAAGTTAATGAACTATTCTTTATAGCTATATCATAAGATGGAGGAGCAATAGTTGGCAAATCATGGCAAACTGAAAAAAAAATAAGGTTGGTCATTAAAATATTGCCAATCATCAATATTACCAGATTCAAATAATATCAAAACCAAATATAATCAATTAAATGAACATATCTGATCAGTCAGAAAAAAAAACATACAAAATTAATGAAATATCAAGTGTTGAAAACAGAAGCTCATATTAAGCATATTACTAAACCTTATGCAAATCTTTCACATAATGGTAAATATTTTATTTATAATTTGAACAATAGATCCATGTAAGAAAATTAAAAAATATTTTTGTTGAATATTTGAATGAGGAAAAACAATTTTAATTAATGTCCTTTTCAAAACAAAATGTCTCCAGTTTCTCCTCCACACATCTGTGATGAATACATACTTTTCTGAAATTATAGTTACAGTATCCCCACATTGTTCTGTTCTTGACTTATATACATTTTAAAACAAAAATAATTGATGCTTAAAGTGTTAAAGGGGACTCAATTTGGTTTAGTTTAGGTAAATCCACATTTCCATAATTTCACTATACCTGAAGATATTGCCAGATTATCACCATTATTCCAACCAAATTTTTACAATTAAATAGTAATGGAGAATCTAAAATAAGCTCTTACCACTATTTGCAAAATTAATATTAAGTGGAGTGAAGATAAACTTTCAAAATAATAAAGAATAGAATTCCTTTAATGATTATAGTCAACAAAATATACAGGTAAAAATATACAGGTAAAAATGAAACCATGAAAAAAAATTCCAATTCTTAAAATAAAAGGCACAGCAAATTGGTGCGTCTAAGAAATCAGACAAAAAAAAAAACTCAGTTGTGATTAAAATTATCAACAACTTGTACAAGAACAAAACTTGTAATTCTGTATTAGAAGAACAACACTATTATAAAATTTGTAAATTTATAAGGTACTATAGTTATTCTCTCTTGGGTTTACTTTGTAAAATAATAAATTTCTTTGTTTGAATTTCTGGGATGAGAAGTTATTATTTACATTCAGATTAATGTCCTTATCTTTGTTGTTATAAAAATGACTTGGCTGTTGTGCATTCCAGAGTACTTCAGGTGTCTATTAATCCAGGTAACCTTCAGAGAATTTCAAATCAAACATTTTATTTAATCTACAAGGGCAATTTTTTTATAATTCTGCTATCAATGTCTAAAGATATCTCATCTTGTTCTCTTTTAAGTACTGCTGACTTACTGCTCACCCCGATTCCATCGAGTCTCTACTACCTGGTGTAATTATACTATATCACAAAATTGACAAGCCAATGCTTTAATCCACTAAGTTATTATCTTGAAGCCTTACACCTAATCTTCTTTCATCTTGCATGCTAATGGCATTGCTGCTGCTGTTGAAATATTGCTGTAATTCTTTATTAATGGCTCTCATATATTTATTTCTAAGCTAAGCCTACTGAGGAGGCCCTCATAGCCTCACATGTGTTGATTCAAATGTCTTACTCTGTAGTTTTCCTTTCTGTCTAGTATTTTTACTTCATTCTACTGGGGGTTGGTAGTCACTCTTTACCCTCTATACATGATCAGCCATGCTGATTTCATTGTCTCAACCCTTATGGCTTTTTTTATATTCCTTCAGCCTTACTTTTAGGAAGTAGCTGGTTACTCTTCTGTATTCTGTGCCACAACTACAAGGGATAGAATACAAAAGGTTTTGGTCATAGAGGGATTGAGAAGTACAATCAGAAAACTGTCACAATATGTTGCCCTTATGTTAAGGAATTGTTGAAAAGAATTCAGAAGATCTTCAGCATTAGGACAATATTTAGAAGCAGTTCAACCTCATGGAAAAATCTCTGCCAAGTCAAGCCTAGCAGAAAGAAGAACATGACCATGAATTCCATCCCTTATGAATTTGATGGCATGGTAATTGTGGGTCAAACACTACAGGCTTTGACTCAGTGGAAACAAGATAAGGAATAACAAAGCAGTACTAAAAAGAGAAAAAAATATCCCTAGACAGCAGTACATGTACATATTTGCCCAGGTATAAAGGGTTTCATTCAAAATTCTCTGAAGGTTGCTTGAATCAACAGACACTGAAGAAGGCCAGAGGTCATGACAACCGAAATGTTGTGATATTAACAACAAAGATGAGGACATTAGTCCAAATGTAAATAATAATTTGTGTCTGACATTCAATTCCAAATACCATATTGTTAATAATTATTACTACACAATTGCCAGAAAGAAAAATATTCAATGTAAGTCAAAAATAATATGTTAGTAGTTATACACTGATGTGAGCAGTTGTCATCATCTTGAATGCAATATTAACAATATTTCAGTCACTGTATCCTCCAAACTTCTTCAGGTGTTTGTGACAATAGAGACATTACAAAAATAAGCAGTACCAACCAGGAAGTGAAATTGGTTCCACCTGGCTTAAATGTTAAAACATTTTATTATGTTCTTAAAGCAATTGATAGCAGAATAAATAAAGTACATTTTCATTATGACTGATGCCATTTTCAAAGACCTCAAGAAACAACTGATTTAGCTATTATTTTGAACATTTGCATTTTTATTTATATTACTTGGAGATCACTGCTTATTTGTGAAATTTGTTTATTTTTGGAAGAAGCACAAGTGGCATTACACAGACTTAATGCCACAAACAACTGAAGAGAGTACTGAAATTTGACTATAAAAACATACAATAAGGACAACATGAATGAATTTATGTATTTTTAAATTTAAAAACATCAGACAAAATTAAGTTGATAATCCGTTTCCCTTCTGCTGCTTAAATAGTCAATATTTTACAAGTTTTACTGAAAGCCAGAATTACCCACTATTCATCAAAATTTAACAGCAGTTTTTTTTTTCAAAGTGTTCACATTAGACATTTGAAAACCAGAATGAGAGCACTAATACAAGTAAGTCAATGTATAATAATAGAATTTAGAAATCTTAAATCTTATACTGAATTTTTTGTCATAAAATCTTTCACTGCACCAATTTATATTCACTTTTAAAAATCCAACATTAAAATATCCTGAAAATGAAAATAAAATCATATATGAAAAAATAAAAACAAAAATAATCTTAATCTTTCAAATAATTACCTGAAAGTTTCTGGATGAAAAAAAGAAGCATATTAATAAGACACATAAATGAACAGTTTCTAGTATAAGAAAGTGATAAATTGATTACCATTTCTAATATAACAAATCAACATATATTCAGCTATACTGTACTTCATGCCATATAACAAGTCATTTTAAATAATTAAATATAAAACCTAAAAAGTAAGTGTATTATATGCAAATGGTTTTTCTGTTGCTTTTGGAGCAGGTATATTTTGCATTATCATAACAATGGAACTCACTTGAAATTCATGTACCATTTGGTTGACAGAATGCAAAGAGAGATTGTCATCAAGTCTTTAAAATAATATGCTCTGGATGACAGCAAAGATTTTTTTTCTATAAATGAAACCAATATTGACAAATTTTCAGAATTTGAAAATTCCAATAATTGTGAATAAATTTTATCTCAAGAGCTAAAGTGTCCTGCATATGCTTTATTTTGTGATCAAAATTTCTTATCTTTTTTTGTTTATTCTTTTTAAAAAAAAATAAAAATAAAAAAAAACTTGAAATACAGGAATTTGCTTATAGTGATCACTTCATGATATGGTCTATTATATAACAATAACTGTCTGATGACATTAAGCAAAAAAGATTGGAAACTCTTATAAATTAAGTTTATTATTATAATCAACTTTATATTACAAGAAAGAAATATTATTTATTTGATTTATTTTTAATTGGATAGTCTTTTTAATTCATTTTAAATAAAATGTCTAGGGTCAAATGAATTTGATAACATTATCAGGGATTATAATAAATGGCTACCTCTGTATTTTGCTTTATTTTCTTTCATGAACATGTGGGAGATCTGAGGTTGTTATATGGTATGACATACAGTAATTATTGTACATACCTATAAGAGGATGGTTTATTCAGATTTAAGAATTTATCAAAAGCTGGATTCACATATTTCTTGTTCTTATAAGGTTTTCTGTTTGTCTATTCTTGGACTTAAAACTATTCATGTGATGAAGTAAAAAAAAAAAATCCAGGATACTTCACAATAAAATTCCCTTTTTAATCCAGTATCTGAATTTGTACTAAAAATCTGCTTAATATAAAAATATAAATGATAATTGTAATATTAGCTGTTTCCTTATAAGGAAATATTTGGCATTCATTGACCATGCAGCCAGTGCCACTGTCAGTTGTAATTTACAATATCTTTCTCTTAAAACATTTTTTCAGGAAAAATGTTTCTCAAGTCCAGTAGCTGTTATTGCACTTTCCAGCATTGATAGTGGTTTCCTTTTTAACCTTTTGTTTGAAGTAGTGTTGAATATCAACATCTTGATTATGTCATTATTTTCTCTTCAAGTGACACATGCTATTAGTTGTTGCAGCTGTTGAAAGTCTTCAAGTGATGTGGTTTCTGTTATATGGTACAGCTATTTGTGATTCTGTAGTGCCAATCCATAAGGTTTGAAGAAGGATGGTCCTTGCCATGACCTACAGGTTTCATTGAACCAAAGCCATTTTTAACCATTGATAAATCTTTTTTAGTTCTTCAATTAAGAATCAAATTCATAAATTTGATATATTTTAATAAGCTACAGTAAAACCTTGAATTAACAGTCCCAGAACCAATAGACTCAGGATTTAACTTTAAAACTTTTCAAACTTTATTTAATGGTACCACAATAGCAAGGTTGCCATGATAATGATTTTTCCTTAATGTTTTTCAATTGCTATGATGACGTTCTTACTGAATGAAACTTTGACAACAGAATAAAAATTTCAAGATTACTTGGTCAACATTCTTTGACAGAAATTTAATCTGTAGGGCTGAAAATGGGAAACAGTGGTTTTAAAGAATTTAAGTAGATGTTTCCCGGCCCTCAGTATGTTTACCAAGAGTTTAGAGATTGATACAACATCCTAAAAATACTTGAACATGGCAACAGTGCCTTGTTAGTAATTTTCAATCAAAACGTGTGTGTGTGTGTGTGTATATATATATATATATATATATATATATATATATATATATATATATATATGCACACACATACATTGAAAAAGACATGTAAAAAATTATCAACATTCTTGTTATTAAACACATTTTAACTTTTATAAGTTATTGAAAATTTTGAAAAACTTTGTATTCCTAATACATATTTGTATTTATAAGGAAGATAATTGGTGATATTTTTTTAATCTGTTGTAGATATATACAGTTGATTAAATATGGCAAAATGTGCAACTCAATATTATAATTTGGTACGTAGGTGTTTGAACCGTAACAAATGCAATTAGTTGAGCTCAAGTTTGGATATCACACAAAATATTAACATTTCTCACTAAGAATTAATAATACTAATAATTAATATCAATATCATTATTCTTCAAACCAAAGTCACTTCAATGATAAAAATGATGATGATCAGCAAAGGATTTTCTTCAGAGGAAAATGTTTGTGAAAATAATCATAAATTATTATGGATATTATTAATATTATCTCCTACATAAAAACCAATCTCCAACATAATTAAGTTTCTTGGGTAAATAACAAAAGAAAAATTATTTGCAAGTTTAAAAAAAAAAATGAAAACAAAATTAATATGCAAACATTTTAGCAATATGAAATTAGAACAATCAAAAGAAAAAAGAAAAAGAAGAGAAAAAAATCACATTTGCAAAACAACAAAATAAGAAAATGTTTTTAAAAATTAATATTGGAGAATAATGAAAAAAACATATGTTGGTGGATTTTTTAAAGTAAAATGAAAAATAAGAAATTTTAATGAATTAACTATTTTCAGAAATCTAGAAAACAAAGAAAATGTTAGGATAATTAGATTTTGATGCAACACAAAATAAATATCCTTTTTCTATTATTCATTCTTTAGTAATTTTGAAATAGATAAGAGTTAAATTTTAAATCTTGTTAATAATGAAGGATAATTTTAACAAAAATATAGAAAACTATTTTAATTTTAAGAATATCTAAAATATTTTAGTAAGTGTGATTCATTTATATCCCTAGAATATTGGAAAAAGAGAATAAATTATATATGAGAGGTTGCTGAAAAGTTACCGCCCGTGACCAAGAAAATCCCTTCTAAAATAAATTGTAATTTAGTCAGATTTTAGAAAATTGGAGGGACTGGAAAATTTTTCAGCACCTACTTAAAGAAAAGGTTATATTTTTATTTTACAATAATATTTTTAGATTATCTATTTACATTTTGATTACTCTAATAAAAAAAAAAGAAGTTTAGAAAAATTAAGCAATAAAACATGAACAAAGGAAGAATAAGTGTGTGTGTGTGTGTGTGTGTGTGTGTGTGTGTGTGTGTGTGTGTGTGTGTGCACTTTACAAACTTATTAATCAATGTCCCTAACAATTAATAGCAAAAGTGTGGTTTACACCAACTGAATTTCTTCAACTTTGAAAATTTTACATGTAATTATATAATTAAAGCAATTAATAATTTTATTATATTATTTTAGTAGGTATATATGTTTGAGTAGAAATCTCTTTCCCCATAGATAAAAAGGTATGTCTTCTCAAATGTGTACTCATTCAAATAATGTCCATAGTAATGAGAAATGTAACATGTAATTTTATATTAAGTAATTAGATATTATTTAATATATATTTTATAAATATTATAAACAATCTTCTCTTTTTGTTCAGTTAAAAATACCAACATCAGTAAAAAGAGTTTAGGTTATTTTCCTTGTTTTATACATTAATTATTTGCACTAAATAATATTTAGATCACTCAATGAATCTGGAGCCTAATGATTGAAAAAGCATTTATTTTATAAAAAATAATTGTAAAAATGAATTAATAATACTAAGACAGTATTAAACTTACTAAAATTAATATACAGAGCATGGCAGAAATAACTCTCACATAATAAGACATCAGCTAGATGAAGACACCATTGGCACTAATGTCTTCTCATTATATAGGAGGTATTTCTGCAGTTCACCATTATGGTTAGCTGAGATTTGAAATATTATGTTTCTAATTAATACTGATGTTGATAAAAATTTTGTGTGTACAAAATAATTTAAAAATTTTCATTGATACTTTAATTATGTTGTAATTGATAACGCATTTTCAGAGCTTATATAAATAAAAACAAAATATCCATAAATAAAATTGAATAAATTTGTATAATTTTTTTATTTCAATAATTCAAGATATTTGTATACCAAAAATTGAAGTAATTGAAGATTTCAAATTTTTAATTCATGTTAGATTTGTAATTTTTTTTTTTAATTGAACAAATAACTTTCTATATTTTATTAATTCAAAGATTAAATATTTACAACTTGTCTGCCTTTATAATATAAAATCCCTTTTATTAATAATTATATATAACACTTTCTTCACAAAAAAAATGATAAAACTGATTTTTTTAAAATTTATAATTAAAGATTTCATTTATATGATAAACTTATGGCTAGATAATAAAGGGTTCAATCAAGTATTTATAGATATCATGATCTCAACCACCTGGAAAAGGAAAAAAAATAATGGACTGTCTTACACTTGAAAAATCTAAATTAAAATAACTGATTCTCTACTTAATTATTAAAAAATAGATTGCATGGTTTTGTAGCAATCAATTATATACAAAATCAAAGAAAAATGTATTGGGATAGTACTTTATATTAGTTACAAGTTTGGTTTTGGTACCCTATTTTATATTGGTTAAAAGTTTCATTTTGGTACTCTATTTTATATTTTTATATTCATTTCACACCAGGCAAGATAGTAAAAGCCACTGGAACACAAGGTGGTCACTTAGTGCGAAAGAATAAGAAAGAAGAGAAACACTATTAAGGAGAGAGAACAATAAAAGAAGAGTAATCAAGAAGACAAGATAACAATTGACATTGTGAAGATGAAAGTCTATTGGAAAGCATGTGCTGGAAGAGAGTTCCACATGTGAAAAGTGCAAGAAAAGAAACTGTTAGCATAGGACATGGTTGCATCTAACCAATTTAACTGTAAATTGATTAGACTTTGCTGCCAATCTAGTACTATTCATAAGGTATAGGTACCATAGCAAAAAGTTTATCTGAACAATTACCATGTAAGTATTTATAGAAAAAGCACATGGTGGGAAAGTAACTTAAAAGTGAGATATCAGATCTGATAACATTGCAGATTCTTTGGATTTCATCAAGAATCCCTAAATATATAGCAGACCAGCACCAGACCAGATGTGGCAGCAATATTTAAAGCATGGATGGATGGTAGACTTATAAATATGGAAGACAGATTCTGGAGAGAAAAATTCTCTAGCACAAAAATTGACTAGAAGTAACTTTTTTAGCAGCAAGCATAGCAATTGATTCAATATAATTTTTTCCCTTCATGTCAACAGAGAATGTTAGCCCCCAGGAATGTGCAACAGGTCATTCTCCTGGAGGTTAGCATCAGTTATGCTGATAGAAGGCAGAAAATTAATAGAGAGAAGTTTCATTTTGGAGGTATTAAAATTAAGAAGTCATTCCTTGACTCAATTAACAACAGATTGTAGTGCATTTTTGTTTTTAGATCATCTGCCAATTTGACCTCATCAAGCCAATAAGACAGGAGTAAATAGTTGTATCATCAGCATAGATACTGATCTGAAAATTGATACCATCTGGAAGGTCAGTGTGGTTACACGTTTGGTCTATATTGTTTAGAAGTGTTTGTTTTAGTATTCAATTTTATATTGGCCACAAGTTTGGTTTTGGTACTCTATACTGGCCACAAGTTTGGTTTTACAGGTACAAGTTTGGTTTTTATTACTCAGGCTACAAGTTTGGTTTTGGGATTCAAATGGTACTCTTATTATACAAGTTTGGTTTGGTACTCTATAGGATACAAGTTTGGTTTTGGTACTCTATGGGGATACATTTTTTGGAACAAGTTTTTTGGTACTCTATACGGGATACAAGTTTGGTTTTGGTACTCTATACGGGATACAAGTTTGGTTTTGGTACTCTATACGGGATACAAGTTTGGTTTTGGTACTCTATACGGGATACAAGTTTGGTTTTGGTACTCTATACGGGATACAAGTTTGGTTTTGGTACTCTATACGGGTTACAAGTTTGGTTTTGGTACTCTATACTGGTTACAAGTTTGGTTTTGGTACTCTATACTGGTTACAAGTTTGGTTTTGGTACTCTATACTGGTTACAAGTTTGGTTTTGGTACTCTACTCTATACTGGCTACAAGTTTGGTTTTGGTACTCTATAATGGTTGTTTATTTGAGCAATATGTATTCATCAGACACTATTTTCATTCAGTGAAAACTTATAAAGTATTTCCACCATGTTTTGAAAGAATCAATTTATAAAAGCATCAGATGAATCCTTTCATTGTAGAATGCTCCCTATAGCATATAAGATTAATTCATATTCAAACACAATAGCAATCTGTCCCAAGTGTGAAATGGGCTAAACTTAGCAATTAGCTAAATATTGTCTTTTAAGGTGAGAAAAAGATCAAATTATGGCATGTAATCTTGTAACTCATAGTATAATGGAATCAATTAAAAAATGTATTCATTGTATAGAGTAGAGTTGATTTTTTACCGATTGTAATCATGGTTAAAATTGTTAATCAAATGAAAATATGCTAATTAATTCCAAGTATAAATAGTTACATTAAACTAATATTTGAATTAATGTTCGATGTGTGTGTATGTGTGTGTTACTTGATTTTTTTAAGATGTCAGACTAAGTGAATGATGGAGACCTTGTGAAAAAGCTTTTTAAAAATAAAAGAATTACAAAATAAATTAGAAATAAAAAAAATAAATGTTTAAAACAAGAAAGAAAATGTCAAAATGCTTGTGGTTGACTGAAATATAAAGCTGTGAAAAAATGAAATTATTTTCATGTATTCAAGATGATTTATAGCAAACAAAATTGAAGAATGAATCAGAGGAAGACAGAAGAAATAGAGAAGAGAAAACAATCAATGAAAGTGGATGAAGGAAGATGAGGAGAGAGAAACAGGAAAAAGTGTTGAACAAAATAGGAAGGGGATAAGATAGACAAAATGTGAGAGAGGGAGAGAGAAGTACACAAACAGGCAGGAGGGAGAGATAGAGAGGAGACAGGGAAGAGAGAAAGTGAGAGTGAGAAAAGGATGATGGAAAGAGAGATGATTATAGAGAGAGAAAAAAAGAGACAGGAATTTGAGGTGAGAGAGGGAGAAGCAGAGCGGAAGACTACATGAGTGAGGAGAAAGAAGTGGTACTAAAGATTACAAGAGAGAAGGAGAAAGATAAGCTAGGCTGAAGTCTGAAAGAGACAGAAACTCAGACAGAGAGAAACAGAAACGAAGCTGAAGGTTAGGAGAGAGAGAGACAAAAAGTGGGCTGAAGGTTAGGAGAGAGAGAGAAGCCAGGAGAGAGGCAGAAATTGATCTGGAGAGAAACTAGGGGAAAGAGAAACAGATCCAAAGACTAGGAGAAACAAATGGATCCAAAGACTAGGAGGAGAAAGAAACAGATTCAAAGACTAGGAGAGTGAGAGGTAGATTCAGAGATTAGGAAAGAGAGAAAAGCAGATCTGAAGACTAGGAGAGAAAGTGAGAGAGAAAAAGAAGCTGGGATGAAGTCTAGGAGAGAGGGGAAAAGTAGCTGGGAGAGAGAAATGGATTTGAAGGCAAGGGTAGAGAGAGAGAGAGAGAGAGAGATCCAAAGACTGAGAAAGAGAGAGGAGCAGATCCAAAGACCATGAGAGAGAGGAGTGGATCCAAAGACCAGTAGAGAGAGAGAGAGCATATCCAAAGACTAGGAGAGAGAGAGAGAGGAGCAGATCCAGAGGCTAGGAGAGAGTGAGAAGTTGATCCAAATGCTAGGAGAGAGTGAGGAGTGGATCCAAAGGCTAAGAGAGAGTGAGATGTAGATCTGAAGAGAGAAAGTGGAAGAATAGATCTGAAGAATAATGAAGGTAAAGAGAAACAGATCTGAAGTCTAGGGACAGACAGACAGAAAAGGCAATGTCATAGATCTGAAGGAAGGAAAGGCAATGTCATAGATCTGAAGGAAGGAAAGGCAATGTCATAGATCTGAAGGAAGGAAAGGCAATGTCATAGATCTGAAGGAAGGAAAGGCAATGTCATAGATCTGAAGGAAGGAAAGGCAATGTCATAGATCTGAAGGAAGGAAAGGCAATGTCATAGATCTGAAGAAAGGAAAGGCAATGTCATAGAATAAGCAAGAATGACATGAATAAAAGAAATAATATTTCATGGAATAAAAATACAAATCAATAAATTTGCAAATTGTATTCAAATTTAAAAAAGATCTAAAACTTCTTAGATGTAAATAAATTTTTCATCAGGCATTGTTTTATTTTATAAATATTAATTTGATTAAGTATTAATAAACCCATTTTACTTAAATAGCATATGAAGAAAAATTGTTCAGTTGTGTTAGAAGATAAAATAAAAAAATATTTGAAAGTGAACATATAAAAAAAAATACTGTGAAGCCGATTTAAAAAAGAAATTAGAAATACAGAGATTTACCAAAGCCAACAATAATGGAAGCAAAGGCGAATCAGAAACAGAACCAGGAATACATGAGTGAGAAGAAACAAAAACTAGGCAATAAAAAAATGATAAAGCATTATACTAAGAGTAACTATTAAAAACTATTAGTAGTCTATCAAACTTGGTTCATTTTCTAGTTTACACAGAGGGAGGTACATAGAGGGAGAGAGGGGGAAAGAGGGAAAAGAAAAAGGTTTAAAAAGAGATAAACAGAAAAGTAACATTAGGAAAAATAAATGGAGAAATAAACCAGTGAGATTGGATCGTAAATAGAGGGAAAGGTCGTATAAGGTTAAGGTGTGACATAGAATGTGAGTTAGAGTAAAGCAGAAAACTGGCAGAGGGATTGGTTAGGAGAGAAGCTTGTGAGACACTTGGGGTGGGGGGGCAGTGAAGGAACCTGTATATAGTAGGACATGTACAGAGTGGGATCCTAGGCAAAGTGTGACACAGGAAGTGCAGTGAGGGACTGAGTTAAGATAGAACACAAGAGAGAGGGCCTGGGTAAGTTGGTTATGGGGTAGAGGATTTGTCAAAGAGAACCTGGTTGGAGTAGGACATATAGGGGCGGTGGAAAGAAATTAAGCAGAAAGAAAAAGTAAAACAGGAAATTGAAAAGAAAATTAAATCTGCAAAGGAGAGTTTGGAAAGTGAGAATTCTGGGATCTAGGGTGAGAAAAGGGTTGGGAGTGGAGAAAAAAAAGAGAGAGCAACAAAGAGAAAGAAAAATGAGTGAGAGGTTGGTGTGAAAAAAGGAAAGACTATGTTAGTCCTGCAAAGACCTCAGTGGTGACCAATGTTTACCTGTCGTAGACGCAGATTGAAAATCAGCCCAATTTTCAGTACTGTTGCTCTGGTCAACCCAATCTTTACTATTGCTTGAAGTACTGTCGTTCTCTTGGCTGGAGGTACAGTGGTCAGACTCGGACTGTTCCTCCTGGACACTTTGCTCTAGTTCCCTGAAGACTGCATATCTGTCCGACTGGCTGGTGGCCCTTTCTATTTCTTCTTTCATTGACGGAATTACTGGGGCGGCCTTGAAATCTGAATATTCATCTTCCACTGCATTCAGATCTGCTGATTTGTATTCTGTAAAGCCTTCTGTTCTTATTGCTTTTGTAGAAGTGGATATGGTCTGAGGGTCACTACCCATATGTCCCACTATATTACTTTCACCTGGGGGCTTATTTAAAACAGGGGGAACCATTTCCCTGGGGTTTAGGGGTGATGTGGTAGATGATGATGGTGGGGCTTTGGATGGGTTATTCGAACTATTCAGCTCCCCTATACGGAAAGGGTTCAGTGCAGAATTTAAGTTAGGAGAGGTAACCTGTGGTAAATTTCGACCACTCTTAAAATCGTCAACATAAAGATCGAGGGCCTTAAAGTCCTCACCCTCAGATTGCTCAGAGGTGCTGAACTGGCTGGTGTCATCACTCGGTTTGCTGTCTGCTGACTTGAAGTCATCATAGTCATCATCAAAGCTATTTGTTGACGTGCCTTTGGGGGAAAAAAAAGAAAGAAAAAATCTTGGAGATCACTTTATTTTTTTTTTTTTGTATTTAATAATGTTATAGAAATAAAAAAATTGAATTTTTTAACAAACTGTGTGTGTGGTTGTGTGTGTGTGTGTGTGTACACACATATATTTCATTCAAGTACTCATTTTTTGTAGCAACTCCTTTTTTCCAAGTTTGAATGATAATTAATATTTCTATTGATCATTTTCAAGAGACATGGCAAAAGTTCTTGAGAACAGTACTGACAAATAATTTTCCACCTGTCAGTAACAATATATTGAGTAAGTAAGTTAAAACATTTGGCTCAGTAGACTAATAACAAAAAGACATAAAATAACCTTTTAACTTCTTTGTTGAGTTAATGATAATGTAGAGCTTTATATAAAGAAACAGATTTTACCTATAATATTAGCATCCACTTATAAAAAAAAATGTGTGTATGTATAAACAAAAGTATAAAGTATAAGTACCTTATCTATGGCATTTATATTTTATAATATATTTATTTAAGCTTTACAGAGGATTGAACACTTTTACTGAACATTTTTATATTATTCAGTATTGTCTAAGTGTTTATATATATATATATATATATATATATATATATATATATATATATATATATATATATATGAACATTTTATATTTATACATTCTTAAAAATAATTGTCGGACTTTTCCATTCCATTTCATATATATATATATATATATATATATATATATATATATATATATATATATATATATAAATAAAGAAGAAATATAGTCTTAAGGCGTGCTTTATATTTATGGATAAAGTACCAATATCAGAGATAGGCGTGTGTAAATATAAAAGTGAACATAGTCAGCACTTAGAGGCAAAAGTCTGGAAATGTGCTATATGCAATTGTCAGGCCATGAGTGCTGTTTTTTTTCTCCCATGGCTTTTTTGGCCTGACAATTGCATATAGCATGAAACAGACTGTCGCCTCTAAGTGTTGACTTCTATGTTCACTTTTATATTTATATATATATATATATATATATATATATATACACACACACACACATATACACATGGAGAAATTTAGGCAGAAAATTAGTTTCGATATATTGAAGGCAAAAAGGAACTGTCCATACTTTATATTCTTATGGTTCTGCACTTTAGTAATTATCTAAATTAGATGAAATTTCTTTCTGTGTACAATAGACTGCACTAGGAGTAGTTTCACCGAACACTGCAAATTGCTATAAAGCCAAAACACTGCATCTAAAAACTCAAGTCATGTTCTTTAAATAACTTTGTCAGACCAAGATTTTCATATGGATGTCATGAATAGTGCCAAACCCATTCATAAATATCAAAAGTGCTTTTTCAGATCAATGATTAAAAATGTCTTCAAGTGAGTGAAGCATGTGGGTCTTGGCAAAAACCCTTTTCCTTTGAACCGTATAGACTGGTTTCTATAGACTCGCAAAAGAACTGTACCAGATAACAGAAAGCTCATCATTGGGGACTTTGAACAGCAATCACAACTAAGATGGATAGTCCATGTAATTTGAAGAGAAAAGAATGACATAATCAAAATGTTGATATTCCATACTACTTCAAACAAAAGGTTAGGAAGGAAGCCCCCAACAGTACCGGAAAGTGCAATAACAGCTACTGGGCTTGAGAAAACTATTTTCATGAAAAATTGTTTTAAGAGAAAGATTTTATAAATTTCAGATGACAGTGGTACTGGCTGCACAGTCAATGAATGCCAAATGTTTCCTTATAAGGAAATGGCTAATATTACCATTACCATTTAACAAGATACAGAAACTAATCTGCCAACAAGAAGACCCTATTAAAATATAGAAGAGGCATAATTTGTCTTGATTTTAACAAAACTTTAAAATTTATATAATAACTTCAAACAAGTTCTAATAAAATAAATTGATGAGATGTATCTATAAAATTTCATTACATTTTCCCAGTTTATCTCAAATCTATCCATCTTAGTATTATTCACCTATGATAATCAAAATAAAAAAAAAAAAAAAAAAAATAATAATAATATATATATATATATATATATATATATATATATATATATATATATAATAATTTTATGGACAGGTAGAAGATTTTTCTTTTGATTTTTCAAGGTGGTTTCTCAATATGTGAGATTTTTATCATGGGTGTATAGTGATTTGATATCTAAGCTAGCCATAACCTTCTTTTCCATATTTATGATTTGTAAAACCTCTGGATTAAATCCCCAGAGTGTTTAATTTATGTTGGGTTTATAGTGCCTAAGAATAGAGTTAGGATTTTTCCAAATGCTTTAGCTATAATTTTTTGAGTGCAATGTTGATGCCAGGCATGTTGGGGTTTGTGTGTTATTTTGAGTAAGTCATATAGTGTAGATGGAAAGAGATCTCATTAATTGAGTCTAGCATTAAACTTTCTATCAAAATGAAGTCTCTAAATCTCAGTTTAAAATTTGCAACTGAAATAAGAAAAGGAGAGACACTCTTACCACCTTAACTAAAAACCATTGATTCGAACACACAAAATTTAAAAAGGGTTTCATACAAGGCTATCTTAGCAGCCACCCTTACAAATACTGATGAAACTACTTCACCCAGGAGATACCTACTAGCATTAAAAAACATTATCCATGAATAAAAACAATCATAATCTCATGTGATAAAAGAAGATTGAATAACCATTATAGATACCAATGACTACAATGAAAAATTAGAATCCCTCTTAAATGACAATAACACTTACATAAAAACCAACAAATCCCGGATTAGACTAATACCACTTTACTACACCCACAGTGCACCCAATAAATTAACTAAAGCAGCGAAAAAAACCCTGACTGTGCTTAAATTCCTATATATATATTATTACAGGAAAGGATCAAGTTTTACAGAAACATTGTTGACAATTATGCATTTTGTTACATAACAAATAAAAAAAATAATATAAATTTTGATGCTATATTCAATTTGTTGTTAGGTATTTTTATTTTCTCCTTTGTTATTGGCAGCATTTTAGAATACTTTGGCTGCAATGCTAAGTTTCCTAAGTTGAACAAACTGGAGCTATTTGAACATGCTTTGTTACCTCAATTTTCCATTTGTTGTTTTAGATCGCTTTCTTCCAGTCATTTTGATGGACAATAATGAAATTCTGAAATTTAGAATAACCTTATTCAATTTCAAAAATAAAGCCTGTAAAAAGGAATATTTTAAATTAATATATAACCAAAAATAAAATGCTTTTGAAAAAAAAAAAAAATTTTAATATGGTTTCATTGTAATTATATTCCACAGACAAATCTTCAGTTTATATTACCTCATCTCTTTGCATGGTTATGAACTATAAACCTAAATTGAGCTTGAAAAATATTGCAATCAGCTCTAATTTTTTGTAAAAAACTTGGATATGATATAATGAATGATTTGCAATGAAAAAAAGCCAAAATTTTTTGACCACTTTTTAGCTATTTTCAAGGGCATTTTGTTTTGGTGCTGTTAGAAGGATTTTTTTTCTTGTTTTGACTGTTGTGAGATGTATTATTTTTTGGTTTTTGATAAATTCTAGTTGGAGTATTTATTTTAAACCATCACATGAAATGGCTAAAGAAATTGGCCAAAAGGTGTTTGGGACAATGGATGATATTTGAACAATTTTTGTTTTCCCTGATTTCCTGCTAAATGGAAAAATGAAAGAACACTGAAATATCCAAAAAAAAAATTTAATAAAATTTTCCTTGTCTGTCATATTTAATGAAAAAGATATATATATTTTGATAATAAGATTTGATAGAAGCACTTTCAAGGTTTTTTTATGTTTAAGTAAGTTACTTTTCTTTTAATAAATTGGGTAAAACAAATATATAATATTACCTACTAACTCCTTAATACCTATCATCCAAAAACAATTCATCCAATCTTAACAATATCAAAATAATTACAATAACAACCAAAACTATTATGGATATGATCAGAACAAAAATACCCACAACAATAATAATTCTGAAGCAGTGTGTGTATTATAAAATAAATTTTGTCAGAAAAAATTCTTAAAACAGAACATTGGGAAAACTTGCAGGAATTAAAAAAAAGTATCTATGAGCACAAAGAGGATCTTATATGCAACAATTTATGAGATAATGATATATAATTTTTTATATATGAAGAACAATATGGGGAAAATAAATTTGACAAAGTGAAAAATAGTTTGTGTAATGTGTTTAATCCTTTAGGAATTCATTGGACGAAATTGGTTATGTTGGTGTGACTACACATGTGCACAAATGGAGGAAATAATGGGAATTTTTTTTTTTTTTATATATATATATAATCTAGTCAATTTCATTTAGATTTTTTTTCAGACTCTTTATTAATTATACATAAAAATGAATTCAACCACATTTTTTTGATTTAAATTTTGCCAACTTATTAAAAAAAAAAAATTATTTAGAAAATTTTCAAAAGTGTGCTACTGAATCTTATTATAATATAAATCTGCACCATAGATTTTTTCATCTTATAAATCTGTACATATATATATATATATATATATATATATATATAGGGCTGGTGTGTTTTACTCCTGGACCCTCCGACCAGTGGGAGAAAAATGATTAGTGGACCTTTACATTTAAAGAAACTCTCTATCTTATCAACTTTTGTTTTTTTTTACCTAAATTTATACATCGTTACAAATTAAACTAAGCTAAGCACAACTGACTATTAAAAAGGATGTTAGAAAAAATATTTTAAGGAAAATTCAGTAATTTTTGAAACAAGGAAAATTTTTTAACTATGAAATAAAAAATCGATTGAAAATTGATTTAGGGCCATTTTTGGGGATTTGGGGGGTTAGTCTCCAATCGACTTTTAATCAATTTTATTTCATAGTTAAAAACTTTCCTAAGTCAAAAAAATAGTAAAATTTTTGGCATAAAAAATTTTTTGGATTTTGATGTCATTCTGGGG